ACTTTTGTGCGAGAATGAGTGGAGGAACGGCCCCTCCCGTGTTTTCGGGGTGCTGCCCACTGAGGCACGTTTTCATCACACCAGCGTTTCTGGGCAGGGGCCTCCCCTGCTCTCTCCAGGTCACCTTCGAGGGCAGGAATATGCAGCTGTGAGACCGGCCGGGCTGCCCTTTGGGGCGCGCTGAGCTCCAGGGCCTGGCGGGAGGGGAAGAGGCTAGATTGCCCTTGGGTTCCTGAGTCCTGCACAGGCCCGAGGGCCCAGAGTCCCAAAGATAGTCCTGCAGGAGAAGAGAGAAGAGGGGTCTAGGGAGAACATGGACATTCCCTGGGTTCCATTCTCAGTTTTGGTCTAGGCTTCTGCTGGGGTGGTGGGCACAGGGGTGATGTTTGGTGCTCACCAACAAACTGGCCACCTCCATTTCAGATTGTCACAGCCTTGGCCATTGCGGGAACCCTCAAGTTCAACCCAGAGACCGACTTCTTGACAGGCAAGGATGGCAAGAAGTTCAAGCTGGAGGCTCCGGATGCTGATGAGCTTCCCCGAGTGGTGAGCAGCGCTGCCCTCTGCTGTTAGGGAGTGGCTCGGACGAGAGAAGCTTGCCTCCCGTGACAGCCGCCCATGTGGGACTGAGGATTCGGCACCCAGCATGTCCCTGTCCCCCGCTACAGGAGTTCGACCCGGGGCAGGACACCTACCAGCACCCCCCTAAGGATAGTAGTGGGCAGCGGGTGGATGTGAGCCCCACCAGCCAGCGCCTGCAGCTCCTGGAGCCTTTTGACAAGTGGGACGGCAAAGACCTGGAAGACCTGCAGATCCTCATCAAGGTCAGCGGTGCGGCGAGGAGGCAGGACAGCCCTAACCTGGTGGGGCGCCTTCTTGCCTGAGCCCAGGGGGACCCGGGGAGAGTGTCAAGATGAAGGTGGGGATGGGAAGGGAGTTTCAGCTGCAGGAGTGGAGGGCACTGCAGCCCGGGGTTCCCGTCTCCGTGGCCCTGAGCTGGGCAGAGCTCGATCTCCTGGCCAGCTGCCATCGATGGCCCCGCGCCGTCTTGCAGCAGCTGGCGAGACCCACCTCCAGCAGGCGAGGACAGCACAAGAAGGCTGCACAGCACCCCTCCACCCTGTGTATATCCACACAGGCTCTGGAACCACTGATTCCTCCCGTCCCCACAGGTGGGCATTAGTGTGGATGCTCTGTGTTTGGAAGCTGAACAGACACAAGCCTTTACGGTGCGACTTAGACCCATGTCAGATGTTAATTTATGCTGCTCCAGGGGCCTCCAGGCACTCCTGCAACACAGTACTAAGCCTGTATGACAGATGGAACTGGTCAGTCATCAGCCAGGACCCAGGCATGTTTCTGGATTTCTGTGTCCGGCATGAGGCCTGTGGCTGATCTTCCAGCCTGGGCATCTCTTAGTTGGGGGCTTAGGTCTCAAGGGTGGACAAACAGATATACCTGTCCTCCCTTTGAGTGGCCTGCCCCCATGAGAGAATGTCCTGTCCTAGAGACTGAGCAGCCTGAGGCTTGTGAGGGGGTAGGTGGCAGCCTTGCCTGAGCCTACCTGGCCTGAGGGTGGAAGCACTAGGACCACAGACCACGTGTGCAAAGCCTGACCTTCTCTCATCCCCCTCCTGGGTCCCAGGCATTGGGGCCTGCTGCCTGCCTGCCTCTGGAGGGTATTTTCTTGCATCCGCGATGTAAGGGCCATGCCCTGACCTCTGTCCCCTCTGCTCACCCTGCCAAGGTCAAAGGGAAATGTACCACAGACCACATCTCGGCTGCTGGCCCCTGGCTCAAGTTCCGTGGGCACCTGGACAACATCTCCAACAACCTGCTCATTGGTGCCATCAACATTGAAAATGGCAAGGCCAACTCTGTGCGCAATGCTGTCACCCAGGAGTTTGGCCCTGTCCCTGACACTGCCCGCTACTACAAGGTGGGTCAGTCGGGGGGGCAGTGCTGGGGGCCACTCTCCTGAGGGCCTGGAGGCAGGTGCAGGGGGGATATGTGGGGAGTGGGAGCTGGGTGGAGGCCAAGACCAAGGGGAACTGCTATCCGGAAGGAAGGAAGGTCCTTCAGCCCCTCTGGTGGCCAGGAATGAATGAGGCTCGGCTCAGGTTGGTGGAGGTGGGTCCCTGTACCCAGGAGGCCCCCTCGGGAGGAGTTAGTGAGAGGAGCGCTCTCAGGAGACATCTGGCCCCAGACTCAAAAGAGGACTGAAGGAGACCTTGTAGGCAAAGAGGAGCCGGCTCAGGAAGTCAGAGGCAAACAGGCTCAGAGAAGGGGCTGCACGAGGCCTCACGACAAGCAGGCAAAGGGCCGAAGCCAGGTGTGGGATGAGGGAATGCTACTGCTTTGAGAAACTGACAGAACCAGGGCTGGACTCAAGTCCCAGCCCAATAGAGTGAGGGTTCTCTGGCACCTGCTGGTGGCAGGTAGGGCAGAGCGGTGCTCTCCAGCCCAGCGCCCAGATCACTAGCTTTGCAGTCAGGTCCCACGTCCCTCACTCCCACCGCACACCTCCTGCCCTGGGCTCTGTCCCCTCACTGTGGCCCTTCACACACACGTGCATCCATGCTGAGCATGCATGGGTGGGCCGTCTCCCTAGGCCCACTGCACGGGGGTGGGCAGGGACAGTGTCTGACCCATCTCTGTCCCCTCAGGCCCTAATTTGGTCCTCGTTCACCTGACTTCACTGCCCTTGGGAAGGGCCTTTCCAGCCCCTTGACCCGGGAGCCTCATGATGCCCAGGGCTGGGCAGGTGGGGACGGTACCCTCCTCTGCCTCATAACCTCACCCTTCTTGCCTGGCAGAAACACGGCATCAAGTGGGTGGTGATTGGAGATGAAAACTATGGCGAGGGCTCAAGCCGGGAGCATGCGGCGCTAGAGCCGCGCCACCTCGGGGCCCGGGCCATCATCACCAAGAGCTTCGCCAGGATCCACGGTGAGCTGGAGTCCGCACCCAGCCCATCCGCGTCCCCTGACTGGCAGCCCCAGGTCAGCCCCCCTGCCAGTGGTGGGGCTGGGCCTAGAGCCTCGTGCCTGGGTGCCTGGTTCTGGACTTTGTCCCCGGCTCCCGTGTCCCACCACAGCCCACACGCCGTCAGCCTCCTGCCCCTCCTGGGTCTGTGCAGCACAAGTGCCCGCAGCTTCTCATCCCACAAGCGCTGGATCTGCTTCCAAGCTGGCAGGCCTGAGCAGCTGGAACCCAGGACACACGTCAAAGGGTTTTTTCTGACGCGGCTGTGCCTAGCAGGAGGCCTCCCAGACAGCAGCATCAGCGTGCGCATGCTTTGGGTGCCCCTGGTGAAAGGGAGCCCTTCAGCGCCCCAGCTCTGTCCCGGGCAGCAGGACTAGGGGTGTCTCCCAGAGCCCCAGGTGGATTTAGAAAAGGACACCCTCAGGGCTGGTGAGGCTCCCTGCACAGAGGAGCAGGGAAGGGCACCCCCACCCCCACTGACCGAGTGTGCCTCTGCCTTCCAGAAACCAACCTGAAGAAGCAGGGCTTGCTGCCCCTCACCTTCGCCGACCCAGCCGACTACAACAAGATTCACCCTGTCGACAAGCTGACCATTCAGGGCCTGAACGACTTCGCCCCTGGCAAGGTCAGGGGGCCGAGGAAGGAGGGTGGGCGGGCAGGCAGCCACCTTGCTTCCCCTCCTGCACTTGGCCCCACCTGCAGCTCTTCCCATAACCTCTGCTCTAGCTGGAGCAGCCCTCTCCAGGCAACAGCGCCGGAGAAGTGGTGCTAGCCTGGGCCCTCCCACCCTGACTCCCCACGCATTAGGCCAGGCTTGGCCCTCAGGGGTGACAGCCAGGCTCCAGGAGTCCCCTATGGGTGCCATCCAGGTTTTACCTGGGCCACGCAGGCTTAGCCCTGGCCTAGGGCTCAGTTTACCTGCCCTCCTGACCCCCCTGCAGATCCAAGGTGTGTGTTCCTCAGAGCACCCGCCCACACCCACCTCCCTCCCTGCAGCCCCTGAAATGCATCATCAAACACCCCAACGGAACCCAGGAGACCATCCTCCTGAACCACACCTTCAACGAGACCCAGATCGAGTGGTTCCGCGCCGGCAGTGCCCTGAACAGGATGAAGGAGCTGCAGCACTAAGTTGGGCCTCACCTTGCCCCTCCGACCCGCGCTGGTGCCGTTTACCAGCTCCACGTGCGCCGTCAGAGCCAATCTGATCATCCGGCCATGGCTTCTTGCTCCAAGATGGTGTGACCAGACACGCTTCCTGCCCTCTATTCCCTCAGCCCACGGAGTGACCGCAGTTGGGGGGTGGTTCTTAAGATAATTTTTTAGCTCCTGCCTTCCTGTTTTTAGTTTGTTTCAGATCTTCAGCAGCTCCATGCAACTGTATTTATTTCTGATGACAAGACTTGCACCTACAGTTTTTCTCCTTCCTGATCATTTCACTTGTGGCTGAAGGATTTTAAAGAACCTTTTGCTCTTGCAAGGAAAATAAGAATCCAAATTCAGTGACTGTTCATGAGTGAATGGTTGATGTCTGTGTCGTCTGTCATCAATTCCAGGGTTCAGGAAGGGTCTTTTCAGCTAAGATCAGTGGAGGTAGCCACAGCTTGGCCTGTCACCGCAGTGAAGGAGACCTGAACTGTGGCAGAAAAGACCTCCCCATCACCTCCCACCCAACCCACTTCCCACCTGCAGGGCAGCCCTGCCCCCTTGCTCCTGTAGCTTCCCTGCTAGGCCGGGTTGGAGCCTCCAGCGAGAGGCTCACCCTGCCCTGGGCAGTGATGTGCCAGGCATGGTCCCATCTAGCCCTCTCAACGCCCTGAGGTAGGCACAGCCCATCTAACAGATGAGGCCACCCAGAAGGGGAGTCTGCCCAAGGTCACAGCTAGCACAAGACACCTATCGCCTCCTGCCCCTGGAGTACCAGCATGTGGCAAAGAGCAGGCCTCTCTTCCTGGAGTAGCATCAGTGGATGCTGCACGGCACCGCCATTCTTTTTTCTTTTTTTTTTTTTTTAGGGAAGCAGAGCCCCAGCCAGAAGCCAGGCACACATGCGTCCAGCACCTCCACTCTGTTGCCCTATTAAGAGCCAAAAAGCCCAGGGCAGGAGGCCCCATCACCAGGACAAGACTTACTGCAAAATGAGTGTCCTGGTGTCAGCAGACGTGGGCGAAAGGGCAGGAGGAACCTGGCAAAGCCCTTCTCCTGAGCAAGTGATGTGGGGCCCAGATCCAGGGTGTCACCAGCAGACCTGCAGAGTACGCATGGCTGAGGTCTGCGTGTCAGCTGGCCCCAGGCTTCCTGCCGTACCACGGCACGGAGGGAGGTGGGAGATAACAGGGTGTGGTCACCACCCTTCTTGGGCCAGCGGAGTCCACGGCTTCTACTTCTTGAGCAGGAGCTGGTTTGGCTGACTCAGGCTACTCTCCTCCTTCTAAAGCCGGTGGGAAGGTGGTTGGTCCTTAATGTTCAGACCCAGCTAGCAACTGGCAGCTTCCAGGGCCCAAAGCCCAGCCTGAGACAGCCTGGATCTCACAGCCCCCAAGTCCTGCCATTTTGTGGGGGTTGGGAGAGGCCATCTCCACAAGTGATCTGGGATGAGGGAGGACATGCTGTGGCAACTCAGTAACCTTAGGTCGTAAGACAAGGGTGGCCCTTCCCTACTGATGCTGACGTTGTTTATTGTCTTTGCCGAAAGCCAGAAGTCCGTGGGGATGGCAGGATTTCAGTAGCAGCTCTGAGAGGAGGAGCAGGACCAGGATGGCACGGGGGACAAGCTGGCGGGCACTTCTGGCCCCTCTCCCTGTCCAGCTGCACGTAGCATCAGCCTCAGCTGCTGTTGTCTTCACAGCTGGCCGCACCACCTTCCTAGGGGTGGGGTCTGCCAATGGGCAGGGTCCACTGTCGAGCCCCAGGACTAGTTGCTGGTCCACCAGGAGAGAAGGCCCAGGCCTGGCTCACTGATGGATCCCTGCCAGGAGACAAAGAACAGGCACATTCATTGACACCCAGGGCTTCAGCCAACTGGGACAGGTCAGGGGCCACCCTTCCCAGCACCCAGCAGGCTTGGCATAGGCAAAGGCAGGGCACACAACAGCCAGGAGGCTTTGGGGAAATCAGGAGCCATTCCAGCCAGGCACAGACGCCTCTCCTGAGAAAGGAAAGCACAGGTTTTCTGGCTCCAAGGCCTCAGTGGGGTCAGGCACCCTCCTCACCCCCAGGCCAGTCCCAGGCATGCCCTCCTGAGCCACTGTGGTCTAGTCCTACCAGAAAGGCCAAGCCACCATAAGGCCCAGCCTCCACATATGTGCAGAGAGGAGTGGCCCTGAAGGTCACCCTGCCCTGGGGCCCACCCTTGATCTCAGGGCTTTGATCTCTCCCAAGCCCCTTCCTTGGTTTATTTCTCCCTCAAAGCCCCTTTATCAGTGGCTTTGTCCAGCATGGGCTCTGTCCCTCTTGCAAGCAGGGCTGACGTACCCACCCTCCCCAACAAGCAGCTTTGTCCCCTCATAGCCCCAACCTATGGAAGCAGGGCCCACGCCGCACTCCTGGGCTCTCCCTCCGCAGAGCAGGCCCCGCGCCAGCAGGACTCTTACCACAAGTGTGTACGGGGCCTCCTTCTTTGGCGGCTCCTCACTGGAAGAGGTGGCCTCGGCTGAGCTGGGTCCGGTTGGGGACGTGTCCACAAAGCTCTCGTCCACTACCCGGAAGCGGATCTCCTCGCCGGTGTCCATGTATAAGTCATGCGCTCCTTCCTCCGTCTCGTACTCCCACACCCATACCTGCTCCGCCTCGTCACTGGGGGACCCGGAGTCAAGGCAACAACCAGGCCACGGTGGAGCTGAGCGTGGGGGGAGGGGTCCTCCCGCAGCACTCCCAGGAGAAACCAATCCCAGGTTGGGATCACTTTGGAAAGTCACAGCAGAAGCAGGTCCCAGCCCCACATGCAAGGCCTGGGCCCACGGTGAGGAGCAGTAGTGCTCAGGTGCCAGGACCCAGCACGGGAAACCTGGAGCCCCCCCCCCCAGGCACCAGGGCCACACACGTCCTCGGCACTAGAGCTGGAAGGGAGGGAGACAGCGAATCCCACCTCTTCAGACCGGAACGACCTGGGCTCCTGCTGCCTGCAGTGCCCCACACCGGTTTTTACCCAAGCGGCATGACGATCTGCTAGGCACTCAGAGACTTGCCCAGTTTTCAAGAGGTTGGGGTGGGACAGGAGGTCACCTGCCTGAGGGCCCACAGCTGGTGAGAGGACCAGCCGGGACCAGGTTTCCCCACATACACTGGCAGCCAAGGCAGCCCCTCTGCCTTCCTCCCTCCGCAGGACCCACACTGAGAGGCCACACTGCCCTCTGGTGGCAGTCCCACCGCTGGGTCCTCCCTCTGTGCCAGGTCCCATGCTGGGCACTGTGGGTATACTCAGGACAGGACACAGTCCCTCCCAGTGAGTAGTCTCGGATTAGTGACAGCCCCACAGAAACAGCCCACCTCAGTGCAGCAAGGTGAGGCCTGGGACCAGGGAAATGGGGGCCCAGGAGAGGGAAAACCTGGCCCCAGACCCGGCACACGGGCAAGTCTCACGTCCCAGGCAGCCAGGACAAACCTCCCAGGGGAGGCTTTGAGAAGACTCCTGCAGGGACAACCTAAGAAAAGTGAACCGGAAGTGAATGGTGTCCCCCACAACAATAGAGCCCGAATGGTGTGCAGTGCATGAGCTATACAGCCAAGCCTGACAGCCCAGGTAGAGACAGGCACGTGGACATCGTGGTCAACGCAGGGAGGCACAGACAAGTCGGTGCTTCTGGAGCAAAGGGGCAGGCACAGAGGCCAGCCGTGCCAGCTCACAGCACCCAGGGGCCCGCCGAGGGGTGAGCGCCTCTGTGACCCACTTTAGTCTTGGGAGGATACAACTTGGCTGGCTGCTGTAGTGACTCTGGAGGGATGAGGATGTCGTCGAAGAACCCTAGAGAGACTGGAGGAAATGAAGGTGATAGCATGGGACAGGGGTTACCAGTGGACAAACAAGGGGGCTGGCTACTTGACAGGCTAAGCCCCCTACCTGGTACTGCCCAGGGGCAGGCGCCGCCATGTAAATCTGGGCCCCTTCCCCACCTTGAGGCCTAGCTTCTGCCTACAGCACCCACGTAGCCCCAAGCAACTGGTCCCCAAAACCTGAGGTGGACACTGCACGCTACAGGGACCAGCAGGCACCACAGACCCCCAGTCACTGCCACCAACTTCAGTGCCCACCCTGATGTCCTGAGTTCCCGCCTCTCAGTGAAACCTCACGGCCGACTGAGGTCCTCACTTGATACATGAAAGCGAGAGGGGGCTGAGTACTCCCCCCACCACCACAGGGACGAGCACAGGCCACCTGCCCCCCACGTGCTCCCAGGCTGGTACCGTGCACTCCCTCCAGGCTGCAGCCTTTGATCTTCCCAATCAGAATCTCATCCAGGAACGGATGGAACACCACGTAGCGAAAATGGACTGGAAATGAAGGAAGCACATCAGTGACTCGAGGATGGCCACTGAGACGGGCCACCCGTGCTCTCCAATGTCAGCCCTCACAGGAGCCACCAGGGGTCCATGCCATGTCCTCCTGCAAACCCAGACCTGTCAGCTGAACCAGAGGGACCCTCCCTCCATCCCCTGCAAGGCCACAGCGTGGCTCCCGTAAGGGGCCAGCAGCAGCTGCGTGGAGCTGAGGGCTGCTCCAAGATCCACCAGATAAGCACACTAGGCCAGACTCTGTGCCCCCAGTGACTCCAAAGTCAATTCCAACCCTCCTCCAGGCTCTCCCCTATAAAGTCTAAACAGGACAGAAGCAACTGGCAAAGGGAACGAGGCTGGGAAACAAGTTCCCTGTCTCTTCCTGCCTGGCAAACTCTGCCGCGGGCACAGCTCTGACCTGGAACAGGATGCTAAAAATGCCGATACTGGGAGGTGCGGGCTGACAGCCCAGCAAAATGCCTCTGTGGGTTTTCAGGCCCTGCCCTAGGTGGTCCCCACTCATCTCACCCCAAGGAAAGTACCAGATAGGGTCTGTGCTCATATCAGACTGACCCCAGACCCTGGCAGAAGCCACATATCACCTGCCACTCCTGGCCCCTTGCTTAAAGCCCCAAAGGGGGCATCCGATGCTGGGCTGAGAATAAGCATGGAGCTGTCCCCTGCTGTTGGCTGCCTGCTGTCATGCTCCACCTGTGCCAGATGTCACCTTCCCACTGTGAGGAGGAGGAGGCAGCTCAGACAGCCTGGGTAACCTGCTCACAGCCACACAGCTGTTCTGCCCGTTCTGCCATGGGGAGCCTCCAAGTCTAGCTGTAGCCCCCAGACAGGACCACGGGTTGAAGCCTGTCTTCCTCGGGCAGGTTTGATCTCCAAACACAGGCTTCCACCGTGACGCCTGGAACAGTAGGGCCCCCGGCTCCCCCGGACAGCAAGGCATGAGGAAAGGAGAGGCAGCCGGCCCCCTCCCCACGAGGAGACAAGCATAAGCCCTCAGAGCCACCTTGATGGTGCCCAAGCCTCACCTTCCGGAGAGCACAAGAGGGCAGCCAAGGGTCACTTACCCACAGGATGGAAAAACCCTGTCCCCGACATGACCCGATGTTCAGTTTGGTTTCATAAATCCTCAGAGCCTGTACCAGGTTTGTGCAAAGCCCAGTTTGGCCGCTGGGCTCACAGGGGCAGGACAGCACGTAATCCTGTGCCCGGGGAGCCCCGGTCTGGAACAACCACATCCAAAAGCAAATGGCGGGCAACCCAAGTGTCCGCCGATGGAGCAGTGCATAAACACATGACAGGACGTTACCCAGCCTCGAAAAGGAAATTCTGACACATGCTACGAGATGGGTGAACCTTGAGTAAGAAGCCAGTCACAGAAGCCACATAGTGTACGATCCTACTTACCTGGTTTCCAGAATCAGCAAGTCCACAGAGGTATATTGGCGGTTGCTGGGGCGGTGGGGGGTGGGGTGCGGGGGGGGTGAAGGGGAGAGTAAGGACTGACGGCTAACGGCATGGGGTTTCTTGGGGTGATGAAAATGTTGTGGGATGAGACAGTGGTGACGGCCGCACAACTCTGAATATACTAAAACCCACTGAACTGTAGGCTTTAAAGGGTGAACTCTGTGGTGTGTGAATTACAGCTCAGTTAAAGCACACAGAGGAGGACACGCTGGGTTGATGTTCTAGGATGTTCGGCTTGCAGGTGGGAGCCCAGGAAGCCAGAGGAGGGCTCCAAGGACCGTCAGGAAGAGAAGCCTCGTTCTTAGTTCACGGGCTTGAAAAAATTTGTCCCAGGGTAAGTAAGGCTGCCTAGGGACATGGTGAGTTTCTATAAAAAGGACAAATACTACATGATTCCACTTACGTGAGGTCCCCGGGGTAGTCAAACAGAGCAGAATGGTGGGGGCTGGGGCCTGGGCAGTGGGAGGTAGCGTTTGATGGTTAGCAAGCCTCAGTTTGGGAAGATAAAAAAGTTCTGGAGATGGAGGTGATGAGGGTAGCACAACGATGTGAATGTGCTTAAGCCCTCCGGAAAAAGAGCTCACAGCCCCCTGTGTTAGTACGCGGGCTGTGTGTCCTGCTGAGTCCCAGGAAAATTCACCTGCTTCTACCTCGGAACTGCTGGGTGATTTCCCGCCCCCGTCTGTGCTCTCTCAGCCTCGGTTTCTGCTCTGAGCACATTCAATCTTGTATGTATGCCCTGAACAAAAACACGTGCGCTCCTACTTAGTGCAGGCTCTGTAGAAGCTGGGGAGAAACACACGAACATGGTCGCTGCCCCCAACCATCTCCACAGTCCTCACAGACCCTGAAGACCAGCGGTGGACTCACGGGTCTCTCAACGTTGCCTGTCCAGTTCTGACGCTGCAGATTATGTACACACCTGAGAGACTAGGCAGCCCCAAGCTCAGGATGCTGCCGCCGGGAAACTCAGCTGCCCTTCTCAGGCCTGGGTCAAATCCGCTTAGAGATCAGCCTTGTCGCCGCCCGACTCCTTTGCTGCTCTGTTCTAGTCATGTTTGACTCAGTCTCCCCTTCAGACATCCTCATGCCTTCCGGCAAAGGAGGTCCTTCAAACCCAACTCCCGAATTGCTCCATCTCCTCCCAGCCTCTTCCAGGGCCAACATGCACCCACAGCTGCACCCCTGTCCCGGCCAGGAGTATGAACTTTGGCGAGTCCTTGTCCTCTGTCTGACCATTTCTTCCTGAACAGGCATCATAATCTCTGCCCAGCCTTCCTCCTATCTTGGGGCCTTGTGAAGACTGGATGAAGTAACAGCTGTTCAAAAAGTAGCATTCTGCACATTTTGAATGTGACTATGTTGCCAAGCAGCTCTGCTTATTATAAAGTTTTTCATTAAAGAGTACGATTTGCCTCTTGGAAATGGACACTTCTTCCTTCATTCGTTCGACAAATACCTACTGGGTGCCTTCGCACACGTCTGTCACTATTCTAAGTAGTGGGTACGTAACAGTGAACAAAGCAGACCAGAAAGTCCCTCTCTTTGTGTAGTTTCCATTCTAATGAGAGAGATAAAGAAAATAGATAAATAAAATTTTTAGTTTTAAAAATGTGATAAATACTGAGGAGAAAAAATAACTCAGGAAAAAAAACCAAAAAACCAAACCAAACAAAACAATGTGAATGTGCTTAAAGCCACTGAACTGTACACTTATAAATGTTTAAAGTGGTAACCTCTGTTATGTGTATTTTACCCCAATAGAAAAAAGATAAAAGCAAACAACAGCACGAAGGCAGCTCCTCTGGAGCTGAGAGCAGGGCTCGGAACCCAGCCTAGGGCGGGGGCCACAAGGCAGGTCCTGGTCTTGGAGGGCATGGAGAACAGGGGGCTGGCACCAAGTGACAAGCCTGGCCAATTGGGGTCAGTGTCCCAATCAAAAAGGCTGACATCTGTGAATGCCTACTATGTGCCAAGTGCTGGCCAAAGCCTTCCCACAGGCTTTCTGGTCTGGTCCTCGATGGTGGTGCTATTGCTGCTACAGGGTTTGTACAGATGGGGAAGCGTCTTGGAGGCTTAACGCAACATTGCCTGGGCCACAGGGCATGGAAGTAGCAGGCACTTGGCAAATGAATATTCCCAAAGCAAAGGTGACAAGTGGCATGCTAGGTGCTGAGCCCCTCCCTCAGCACTCGCTGGGCCATAGCCCTGCTGAGATGGGGACAGGAGAAGTGGGACAGGTGCCTGGGGCTGGGGTCGGCCCTGAAGCTGGGGATTGAGCCCCACCACAAAGTAGCACCCTGCACAGTGCTCAACATCCTTGAGGAGCTTTATAGCTGCAAATGGGTTTTTTTGTTAAGAGACAGGGTCTCTGTCACCCAGGCTGGAGTGCAGTGGCATCATCATAGCTCACTATAGCCTCGAACTCCTGGGCTCAAGCGATCCTCCTGCCTCAGCCTTCTGAGTAACTGGGACTACAGGCATGCACCACCACACCCGGGTTTATAGTCACAAGTGTTAACCCCATTGTACAGATGAGAAAACTGAGGCAGAGAGAGGTGGAGTTACCTGCCCAAAGATCCCCATCCAGGGGGGCAAGAGCCAGAATTCAACTCTAGGTCCGTGTGTTGCCACACATCTCCACCTGGCTCCCAACAAAATGGGGACCCAGGGAGGGGGTGTGTGGATAATAAAAATCAACAGCGTAAATCTTACATCAAGTGCCACAGAAACAAGCCACTGAATGGACAGAACCTCCTCGAACTTCATTTTTTTCTCCTAGTTTTTCTTGAAGTTCTGGTACCTGTTTCCTCTTGCCTCCTAGATAACCAAGGCCCCTGTGCAAATGCAGAGATGGGGCTCAGCTCGACCTCGTACTCCGTACGCAGAGGCCCCATGGTCGCTTTCAGCACCACGGTCTTATTCGTGTCCCAGTGCAAATGCTCCCAGTCTGTGCAGAGACAGCCTGTTTCTCAGGGCTCTCCCCAGAGCGCGACAAAATCCGTGGAAACCATTTAAGTCTCTAGATGGCTGGACAGGGACACCAGGCAGTCTCAGCACATTCTGGAATTCTCGGGCATCTCTGTGCTGAGGGGCTGGCTGGGAGGCACTATGGCAGGACTCCTCAAGAGTGGGCATGTGTGACAATCACCTGGCACCTTGTCAACACGGTCTTTGGGCCCACCCCGCTGAGAACCTGATTCAGCAGGCCTGGGCAGGCCGAGAATCCACGTTCCTCACGAGTGCCCAGTAGATGCAAGGCCACAGGCCTACACTCTGACTGCCCTGCATCCCCTCAACAGGCCCTCTCACCCTCCACCTCGGGCGTGGCTTGGTCCAGACAGGAAAGTGAAGAATGCACTCCCCCTTCCTGAGAGGCTGCCCGGGCTCACACCTTCCTTGACTGGCAGTCACAGCTCCTCTCGAGGTGGCTCTTTCTACTCCTCCCTCCTTCCGGGATCTGGTGACCACCCTCCCATCCCAGATGCACACCCCTTTGCAATGTGGCACCTTCT